CTGCTAGCCTGATTGATGCTTAACTGCTCCCCTGACATCCTATTTGCCCTTACCTGCCCTCCCCTGCAGGACTGGTCACCCCTAACTGCCCTCCCCTGCTGGCCATCTTGTGTCCACATGGGGGCAATCATCTTTAACCTCATGAGGGCAGCCATCTTGTATGCTGAAGTGATGGTCAATCTGCATATTTTTCTTTTATTAGATAGGATAGAGGCCTGGTGCATGGGTGGGGGCCAGCTGGCTTTCCCTGAAGGGTGTTCCGGACCAGGGTGGGAGTTCCCTTGGGGCATGGGAGGCCTGGGTGAGGGACCTGTGGTAGTTTGCAGACTGGCCATGCCCCATGGCAACACAAGTGGAGACCCTGGTATCTGGGATTTATTTATCTTCTATAATTGAAACTTTGTAGGCTGGAGCAGAGCCAAGCCTCCTGCTCACTCCATGGCTGCTACCATTTCTGTTGGGTTTTATTTATCTTCTATAATTGAAACTTTGTAGCCTCAAGTGGAGGCCTGGGCCAGCCAGGGCTGCAAAAACTTGGCTTCCTCCATTGCCAGGGGCAACCCTAGCCTCCTGCTCTCTGCAGCTCCGTGGCTGCTGCCATTTCTGTTGGAATTTATTTATCTTCTATAATTGAAATTCTGTACCCGTGAATGGAGGCCTGGAATGGCTGGGTCGTGTGGAAAGCTTAGCTTCCTCCATTGCTGGGGAAACCCAAGCCTCTCTCCTGATCTCTGTGAGGACAGCCATCTTGGTTAGGGTTAATTTGCATACTCACTCTGATTGGTTGGTGAGAGTGGCTTGTGGGCATGACAGATTGTTGGTTAATTTGCATATTACTTTTTTATTGGGTAGAATAATAAACTGATAAAAAATCATTAATAGTTTCATTTTCTTAAATGAAAGAAACAGAAAGCTAAAAACTAAAGTATTTACAAATGTAGATGAATTACTTGCCAAATGAGGTTACCTGACAATTAGAAAATTCCCAATAACAACTATAAACTACCAAAACTTTATTAAAATCAATGTTGCAATTTTGTCAAAAGACAACCATATAAGAATTCATAATATTATAGACATTCCATAGCACCAATCAAGTAAATATAACTCATGCTAAATTTTACTATAGTATATAAAGTTATAATGAGAAAATTTGAATTTAAAAATTACTTTCAAATCTAACAATTTCTTTAATTGATTAGTGATACCCTCCCTTATATACTGTTAATTTAAAATAACCCAGTACAAATATTCACTGCTCAAAACCAGGCATTTCCCAGAAAGAAAATTTTGTAGCCCTCTAGTGACAGACCAAAATCATTTGAGACTATGGATGGGGGTTGGGGTGTGGAGAGTGAAGGGTGGGAAAGGCCATAATTGATTTATTTTATTTACTTCAGAGCCCAAATATTGATATGCTAAGTACTTTAAGGTCAGAATCATATATTGTCTGACCACTGCAAAGACAGAAAGCTTCATACAACTTGAGGCAAAAAATAATAAATTTATTATGCAACATTGAATAACTTAAGCTTCCTTTGTGATTTAAATCAAATGTCAACTAATTAATATATCCTACACCCCTTAAAAATTTCACAACAGCCCTCTACTCCCTTCACTCATAGGAAGTTACTTTGCTTCCTATTTCACAAAGAAATTGAGACTACCAAGTGTGAACTATCTCAGCCTTTTTACCAGTCAAAAATAAATTTGATCTTCATCTGCATCCAATCAACCTTCCCTTATTCATTCTCTAAGCTTCTTGAAAAAAAAATATTAATATCAAAAAAATTTAACAAGTATCTTTCCTGATATTAATTATAATTTTGGTATTTAAAAATTGAGAAAACATATATACACCCATAAATTTAAAGTCAAATTCCATTAACAACAAGGAGCCTTTGAAATGCTAGCAACTTATAAACATAATACTTTTTCATGTAAAACCCCAAATTTAGAGGTATGTTCTTTTAAAAGTTCTCACTTTATATAGGTACTCTATCTATGCTACAATGCTAGGGGAAAAAATATGTTATAACATGAATGCTTGTGCATAGAACACAGTGACTCAGGATTAATACTCATTTTCTCTTTTAGTATGGAAGAACATGATAAGAAAGAGCAGTATGACAAATTAATACATTTGCAAAGTAGTTCAGGATAATGTTTTCTCTTTCTAAATGAAAAATTTCATAACTCTGTATTTAGCCCCTTTTCCTTTTTGCGCCTTAAAAGCACCCATCAATTTTGAAATTTCACTATGTCAATCATATTGAATTTATGGTTTGCATATCTGTATTTACTTGATTTTCTAACTTTATTTATGTTTCATTGGTTTGATTGGTCACTCTACTTATCATTCTGTTATTGCTTAAAGAAAGCTACTTCAAATATTTTATGGAACAAGACAAAGCAGTAGGCAAGGAAGGCAGGCTGCAATTATAAAAATAGTAGAGGACCGGTGTATGAAATTAGTACACAGGAGGAGGTGGACCCTCAGCCCGGCCTGCACCCTCTCCAATCTGGGACTTCTAGCTCCTAACCACTCACTTGCCTGTCTGCCTTATCACACCTAACCATTCTGCTAGCCTGCTGATCGCCCCTAACCACTCTGCCTGCCTGCCTGCCTGCTGCCCCAAACTGCTCCCTTACTGGCCTGATCGTCCCTAACTGCTCCCCTGTCAAAGTGATTGCCCTGAACTGCCCTTGCCTGACTGCCTTATCGCCCCTAACTGCCTCAGCCTGCCTGCCTGATATTGATAACTGCTGTACCCTGTCAGCTTGATCACCCCTAACTGCTCTCCCCTGACAGCCTGATTGCCCCTAGCTACTCTCTCCTGCAGGCCTGATCACCCCTAACCACCTTAGCCTCAGCGCCCACCACTGTGGCTTTGTCCAGAAGGACATCCAGAAGACTTCTGGTCTAATTAGTATATTACCCTTTTATTAGTATAGATTCCAATGCAAAACCAACACTTGGCACAGCTATGTCTCAAACCTAACAAAAGGACCCATGAAAGAAGAAGTAACTAAATGTACAAGAACAAATTCACTTCTATGGATAAACAAACAAAATTTTATAGAAAAGGGAAAGATAGCAAGTATTACCACCTTGACATAAAAATAACAGTACTATCCTAATGCAATTTATGATTACTAAGATCCCTGAAAACAGCAATATATTTTCATAATAGTCAACTCAAACTGTGATTTATATGTCAACATGGAACATAAAGTTGAAAACACATTGAAAATAAATGCAAAAATAAAAAGACAAAAAAGTATTTTTAATGTCTCTAGTCCTTGTTCCTAATACAATCTTTACACTGATAATTTGGACATTAGGTTTAAAATAAATCACTGGCTCTTCCATTCAAACCATGGACTTCTTCAGAATCAAAAACATTTTCACATACACTGTATAATTCTTTTTCAACTCCAAACATTTAGTGATGTCACTATTTCCAATGTAATTTTAATAAAATTCCTATACTAGTATATTTCCTAGCCAGGTGTGTTGTACATTAAATAGTATGGTAAAAGCCTGCAGTGGGGTAGGGATTGAGAAGTGGGGGAATACAGGAGGGGGAAATTGGGAAAAATTTGTAATACTGTCAATAATAAGATAAAATAAACAAAATTAAATTAAAAAGCTAATCCTATCCTATATATTAAAAGCCTAATATGAAATTGACTGAAAGAATGACAGAACTACCGATGGAGTAACCGGTTACTATGATGCACACTGACCACCAGGGAGCAGATGCTCAACACAGGAGCTGCTCCCAATCCGCAGGCCCAGATCAGCCAAGGAGCATGCCATTGAGAGCCCCCCCATTTGCCCCTCTGATTGCCCCACAGAGTGAGGCAACTGGTGGCAGTGCCAGGAGGCAGGGCACACGAGCGGATGGCTCCAAGGCAAGTGCCGGCAGGGGACCCCCAATCGCATTGCCAGTTGCCCCACAGATCAGCCCTTATCACCAGCCACACCTAGGAATCCTACCCATGCAAAAATTTCATGCATCGGGCCTCTAGTTCATATATATGAATACAATATCTTACCTAAATAAGTCTTCATCTTAAATATTACAAAGCAGGAAGAATATAATAAATCATATTAAATAATTAGCTTTGCAAACATAGAATTATTACTTCATAATAACTGCCTACCCTAGAACCAAATAATTTCAGCCACATGTAATACTTTATACCATTTTTCCACCAAATCTTTATTCTTTCTAGGTTACTCTATTTTTAAAATTAAAGTCATTTCATTTGTTTATTATATACTGAGTGGCCAGATTATTATGATCTCTGAACACATAATAATCTGGCCACTCAGCATGTGTGTGTGTGTGTGTGTGTGTGTGTGTGTGTGTGTGTGTATGTATGTATACACACACACACACACACACACACACACACACACACACACACACATATATATATATATATATATATATATATATATATATATATATTAAAGGCCCAATGCATGAATTCGTGCATGGGTGGGTCCGGCCAGCCTGGCCAAGGGAAGGGGACATGGGCAGTTAACTGGCCAGCTTGCCTGCTGGTCGAACTCCTGGTCAAGGGGATAATTTGCATATTAGCCTTTTATTATATAGGATATACAGAGTGGCCAATTATTATACACTGAGTGGCCATAATAATCTGGCCACTCAGTGTATACCTTTCAAAATTTGATATTTCAAATAGCACATTAAGCAACAGATTTTTATAAATTTTATATTTCAAAATTATGTAAGAAATGCCATGGCTTCAACATTAGAAAACAAACTAAAGAATAAAAATAGCTCATGAAAGGTAAATGTTAAAAAACGAAAACCACCTTTGAAAGAAAATAAACATAACAGTTGAGTTCCAAAAAATAGAGATGACTTTTAAACCACATCGAAGACTATAACTATATGTTATATCACATTTAACATGGAATTTACACAATCTTTCCACAGAATTTATAAGAGAGTTCTTACTACCTTATATCCAGGTCCTAACTGATGAACTGCAAATATCTGTGCAGGGTTGAGTGCTTCACTGAATACATACACGGCACCAAGTTGACCACAGAATACTCTATTTGCATCAGCAGTTTCGGAGGATCCAAGAAAGCACTTGTCATAGCTCTATTTTTAAAAAGTTATAAAAAGCAAATGTATTATTTTCTAATGACAAAATTAAGGATACCTTTTTTCACTGTCATAACAATAAAAAAGAAAATATTAATTAATTCTTATCAAGTATTTAAGTAATAAAAGCCAGCTAAAAGTTTTTAGGAAAAATAACTCAGTTAAAGGTTTGGTATTGATTACAAATTAAACAAATAATAACCATTACTCAATAATCACTTGACCAGTTCTCCAATTTTATATTTAAAAGCAAAAGGGCTTATAGTTATTTATTTACAAAAGTAAAACTTATTTTTAAACTGAAATGAGTTATTATTATCCATATACAGAAAAAGACTCATCTGAATCAGAGAATAACTGGTACAATTTTAACCATAAATACATAGGGCCTAATTTTTAAAACTCAACCCAATTTCTCCATTATTGATATAATCCTCTATTTCTCCAAACAGAGAAAATCACTCCCCTCTCTCACATAAGTAAGCATTTTTCAAAATCAAAAAAGGTCACAGAAGTCTGATGCCTAAAGCAGATGGTACAGTGTTCTCCACCTGGAGAGTTGAGTACCTAAGAAGCCATTCTTAACAAGACCTTTCCCACTAGGATGTTTTAAACCTCTCCTAATATTTGGTCCCACCCATCTAGACCAGTAAAAGCAGGCACTGGCTGTTTCTCTTTCACATCCTTACAGGTTATTACACTCATGTGAATGAGATACAAAAAAACAGAAACTAGTCATTAACTATCCAATTCTTAATTAAAAGTATAAGGACTTAAGTACTGACTTTATAATACATATGTACATATGCATTACTCTCCAGGTCTCTTCATGTAGTATGTAGTGGAGTGTTACTGCAAATAATTCACAAATCTAAGTATTTTCTTTGCTGTATTAAGATATATATATTCGTAGAGATAATGACACTCAACAATATGACTGAGGTTTTTTCCACTCTAATAAAAAGACTTTTTCATTTGGAGAGCAAAACAAGAATTTCATCTATATATTCTAATTCTGACAAAATTATCCTCATAAATATTTACTATGTCCCAACTACAAGTTTCTAGGACAGAAAAAGACACAATTTTCTTATAAAGGAACAGATATGGCCGAAACCTGTTTGGCTCAGTGGATAGAGTGTCGGTCTGTGAACTGAAGGAATAGATATGAAATACGGTTTGTAAAACACATGATTCCTGTTATTTTCTTTGATTTCTGTTTGTTAGGGTCATTAAAAAATGTAAAAACAGATTCTTAATTTCTAGACTATACTGAAAGAGGTATTGTTCGCTCTGACCGAGAGAACAATAGACTATGCATACAGTGCTACTAGAACAAGAGCCAATCCATGCACTGAGAAGACTAAAGTCTTCTGAGATATAAATAATATTGAGATATGAATTTATTAAAAAGAGGCTTGCTGGGATTATTCTGTGAGCATTAAAACACACCTCTTAATTTTGCTCTAACAGGCTAGGATGAAGATAAGAGAAGGCATAAAATAGAGAAAAAAGAGTTTTTAAATTTATATATCCTCTATTAAGTATCCAACTATGTTATCTCCTCCACTGCTAATATTCTAATCAAAATTAGTACCTTTGTTATAGTAGCTATAAATCATTTAACAGATCCCCCTACTTCTGCCAATTATTTCCTTTAAAAATATTCTCAATACTGCAACCTGATTGATGTTCCTAAAATACCAGTCAGCATCATATCACTAGTCTGCTGATAATCTTACTGGAGGCCCAATGCACGAAAATCATGCAAGAGCAGGCCTTCCTTCCCCCACCTGCGACGCCAGCTTCCCTCTGGCATTCAGGACTCAGCTTCCCTTTGATTGTCAGCAGGCACCTGGGACTAGGCCTTCCCTGGCAGCCCTGGCTTCCTCCAGAAGGTGGTCAGGAAGGACTTCCAATATAATTATCATATTATGCTTTTATTATTATAGATTATTACAGGTAAAGATTTTTATACTAGGTAAGACTGGAAAGCCCAAGCCTTAAGTTAGTATATGAGGCCTTGCATATTTAACTGTCTAATATCTGCTTTGTCTCATCTCTTATCTCTTCTCTTCCCTCTGCCCCAAACAACTGGTTATTTTGTTGTTTAAGAAACTTTCCAGTTTCAGCTTAAAACCTTTGAACATGCAATGAATGGGATTTTCTCCCCAAATATCCACATGGCTTGCTCCCTGAACTCTAATAAAATCATTTCTGTATTATCTGTCCTCTCCCTTCCCTAAACCTACACTTTCTATACCTGTTCCCACTTAATTTTAGTCCATAGAGTTTTTCACCATTTATCTAAAAATAGTAGTGACTATATGTTATACTTATCTGTCTAAGGTTTTTGTGTCACATCCAAATAAGGTGAAAGATACATTTTTAATGCCTGGGATTCTGGAAATACTAGAATACTGCCTTGACGTTTTTGACCTAATACTTAATAAATTACCCAAGCATTTTTTTCTTTTTTTGTATCACTAATCATATCTTGTAGCAATTACATTACATTTAAGACTTAAAAATTCACTTAATAGAAAAAAAATTCAAAGTAAAACAATATATTAAGTTTCTAACAAACTATTTAATATTCAACTACAAACTACACAGCATATGTTCAAATACATTAAAACACAGGTTAAAATAAAACTTACATCATTTGTGTTAACATGCCAAGCCATATCACCATATGATACTAGCTGTCCATTCACATAGCATCGAATTTCACTGTTTCTCCATCGATTGTAAATGTGGACAATGCTGATCATGTACCACTTATATGAAAAAAAAGTTAAAGACATCAATAAGTAATGTATAGTTTTTATTGTATAAAAAGCAATTGTAACATTCATAACATACCTACAAAAAATGCTTGCAGAAAGAAACAGTTGCCCTCTACCATTTCAAGTCCCTCATCCCATTTCTCATTTTTCAGATGAAAGAAGTGGTTCATAAAGAATAAACTTGTGATTTGGACAGAGCGAGAAAGCCTTAAATCTTGATAAACCTTCCAATTAACCAAGACCCCAAAACTATGAAATTACAATTATATTTGTGTTCATTCATTTAACATTTATATTGTGCAGGGTTCTGCAAACACACAGATTTGACAAGACTGATCATAGTTCCCACTTTTCTGAAATTTATGGTTTAATAAAATAGACATACATTAAACAAGTAAAACAATATAGGATCACAAATCGTAATGATTTCTGTGAGAAAAAGAGAATGGTGTAAAATGAGAGAGAATAACCTACATTCTACTTTGGATTGTAAGTTCAAGAAAGACCTGGCAAATGAAAAACTTTTTAACATTAATAGCACAATTTAGCCCTACCCGGGTTGGCTTGGTGGATAGAACAACAGCCTGTGGACTGAGGAATCCCAAGTTTGATTCCAGTCAGGGCTGGATCCCCAATTGGGAGGGGGGAGGGAGGCTTGTGGGAGGCATCCAATCAATGATTCTCTCCCCTCACTGATGTTTCTACATATCTCTCCCTCTTCCTTACTCTCTGGAATCAATAAAAATATTTTTTTTAAAGTAGTACAATTTAAATACAATTGAAACACACCATATAGACTTATTAAATCAGGGGTAATTTTATATTCTAAATGTAACTTATGAATATTCATTAAAAATAAAAAAATAAATTTCAATTGAGCTCTCATTTTATATTAACTGGGGTCAACAAAATGCATTTTTAGTGTGTTTTTTTTATATAGATGGTTTAAGTTCTGTAATAATTTGTGGACCCAAACCTTAGTCTCTTTACAGTTAACTAGAGGCCCAATGCATTAAAACTGGGCATGGGTAAGGTCCCTATGCCTGGCTGGTGATCAGGCCCATTGGGGCCTTCTGACTACTGGCCTGAACCATCCTTCAGGCTGCCAGGCAGGCTATTCCTTCCCCGGCTGTTGGCTGCTGGCAGGAATCTCCTTTCCCAGGCTGCTGGCAACTAGCAGGGGCTTTCCTTTGCCTCACACCGTCCTATGGTGGTCCATGCATGTCATAGTGACTGATCAAACCTTTTCGAGCTCCTGAAGGGACAATTCTCATAGTAGGCTTATATAAATATAGACTAGAGGCCTGGTGATGAAATTCATGCATGGGGGTGTGTATCCCTCAGCTCAGTCTGCACCCACTCCAATCTGGGACCCCTCAAGGGATGTCCAACTGCCCGTTTAGACCCAATCCCAGTGAAGTCAGGCCTAAATGGGCAGTCGGACATCCCTTTCAAAATCTAGGACTGCTGGCTCCCAACTGCTTGCCTGCCTGCCTTCCTGATTGCTCCTAACCATTTCTGCCTGCCAGCTGATCACCCCATAACCATGCCCCTGCCAACTTGATTGATGTCTAACTGCTCCCCTACCAGTCTGTTTACCCCCAACTTCCCTCCTCTGCCAGCCTGGTCACCCCTAACTGTCCTCCCCTGGAGGCTTGATTGACCCCAACTCCCCTCCCTTGCAGGCCTGGTCCCTCCCTGCTGCCCTCCCCTGCTGGCCATCTTGTGGTGGCCATCTTGTGTCCACATGTGGGCATCTTTGACCACAAGGGGGCAGCCATCTTGTGTGCTAAAGTGACGGTCAATCTGCATATTACTCTTTTATTAGATAGGATAGAGGCCTGGTGCATGGGTGGGGCCAGCTGGTTTGCCCTGAAGAGTGTCCAGGATCAGGGTGGGGTTCCCTTGGGCTGTGAGGAGGCCTGGGTGAGGAGCTTATGGTGGTCTGCAGCCTGGCCATGCCCCCCAGTGAAAGCAAGCAGAGGCCCTGGTATCTGGGATTTATTTATCTTCTACAATTGAAACTTTATAGCCTAGAGTAGAGCCAAGCCTTCTGCCCTCTCTGTGGTGGCAGCCATTTCTGTTGGGTTTTATTTATCTTCTATAATTGAAACTTTGTAGCCTTAAACAAAGGCCAAAGCAGGCCAGGGCTGCAGAAGCTTGTCTTCCTCCATTGCCATGGGAAAACCTAACCTCCTGCTCTCTGCAGCTCTGTGGCTGCCCCCATTTTTGTTGGGATTTATTTATGTTCTATAATTGAAACTTTGTAGCTTTAAGCAGAGGCTAGGGCTGGCCAGGGTATGTGGAAAGCTTGGCTTCCTCCATCACGGGGAAAGCCAATCCTCCCTCCTGCTCTTTCTGTGGCCACAGCCATCTAGGTTGGGTTAATTTGCATATTCACTCCTGATTGGCTGGTGGACGTGGCTTGTGGATGTAGCATAGTGGTGGTTAATTTGTATATTACTCTTTTATTAGATAGAATAGCTTAAAGCAGAGAATACAAAAGCTGTTTTCTAAAATATAGAAAAACACAAATGATTTCTAGATATTTGAGCAAGTATACCTCCAGTGGATAAGAGGACAGGGGATAATTAGACTAGCTTTCACATAAAAAATAAAAATAAATAAAAATATAGATAACAGACCACCTTGTTCTCCAGATTACTTAAAAGCACTATTCAGTTATTTAATATATATTTGCCAAGTACATAATTTAATAGTAATTATCAACCATTAAAATTTGTTATTTCAAGTTGTCTAAAATATTTTGAACAAAATTCAATTCATTTATTTTTATTTAGAAAATCAACAATGAACAACAGAAATCAGTAATATATAAAAACATTGTTTATCAACTATAAAAACAATGTCAGGTCAAATCATTTCACTCATTTAAAAGTATTTTTTATTTTTTTAAGTTGTTTCATTTTAGGTTATCTAATTTGTTGCAAATTGAGTTATTAATATTAGTCATTTAACAGCTCGTGTTTCTAAATATTACAAACTTATCAGAAAGAATTCATAAAATTGAGCATCAAATAAATTTAAGAAAACCTCATAGATATTTACAAATATAAGAATCAAAATTTATCTAAATAGCCCTAGCCAGTTTTGCTCAGTGGATAGAGCTTCAGCCTGCAGATTGAAGGGTCCCAGGTTCGATCTAGTCAAAAAGCACATGCCCAGGTTGGTGGCTTGATCCCCTGTAGGAGTGTGCAGGAGGTAATCAATATATGTATGTATGTATATATATACACACATATATACATATACGTATATCTATATTTTTTGTCTACATAACATTCATTGAGTTTGAAAATTTTCAACCATAATGTAATCTACACACAATCTGTACATTTTTAATGAAATTTTGAGAAATTAAGATATCTACATAGAATAGAGATGTTTATATGTAAAAAAAAAAAAATTCCACTGCTGAAATATATTTTTAAAGACAAACACTAAAAGCTGTACAACTGAGAGATTCCAAGATGATGGCAGAATAATTAGAAGTTACACCAACAATCTCTCATTCTAAATTGAAATTACACTAAAATATAGAGATATCATCCTGAATAACCTACAGAAGACTAAGTGGTAAGAATCATTATAAACAAGCATGTAAAGAGGAGGCCACATCAAGATGGGTAGGAAGTAGGGTGGTATGAAAACACTGGCTAGACTCCCAAAGGCAGCAGCTGAAATTCTGGAGAAATATCTCAGTTGTAGGGGGTTACCTCTGAGATGTCTGTGGTATAAACCAAAGCTGGACTCCCAAGCCCAGAGTAACAAAACTGGGAAAGGTGTCTACATAACACCTGGCTGTGAAAAGCACCAGGGGTACTGTCCAGCAGGGGCAGATGGCTAACATTCCCTTAATGGGCCAACACTCTAAATTTCATTTGCAGCCACTCACCTTGAACTCTGGCAGAATGGCTGGTCGCCATGACATACACTGACCACAGGGGGGCTATGGCTCAGCCAGAAGCCAGGCTCATGCTGGTGAGCACAGTGGCAGTGACAGGAGCCTCTCTCACTCTGTAGCAATCAGACATCACCTGAGGGCTCCTAGACTGCAAGAGGGCGCAGTCTGGGCTGAGGGATTCCAGCCCCTAAGTACATGAATTTCATGCACTGAGCCTCTAGTTTAAAATAAAACTTTTGAAGGACTCTAAAGGAGATATCAACAGCAATACAGTCATAGTAGGAGACTTTAACACACCTTTGATTTTACTGGACAGAACTTCCAGAAAAAAACAAAAAACAAAAAAAAAACAGTCAATAAAGAAATAGTAACCCCCTACAACTGAGATATTTCTCCAGAATTTTAGCTGCTGCCTTTGGGAGTCTAGCCAGTCTTTTCATACCACCATACTTCCTACTCATCTTGATGTGGCCTCCTTAAACAACATACTTGATCACAGATTTAATTTATATTTACAAAACATTTGATCCTTAAAGGGCAGTATATACATTTTCTTCTCAAAAGTCATTCCCCAAAAAAGACCACAAGTTAGTACAAAAAATAATCTTAACAAACTGAAACCATATTAAGCATATATTCTCAATCACAATGGCATGAAACTAGAAATCAACCCAAGTTAAAACACATACACACACACACACACACATACATACAAGTCAGTCTCTTCAATAAATGGTGCTGGGAAAATTGGGCAGATTCATGAAAAAAAATAAAAATAAACAAGATGACCAACTTACAACTTATAAAAATAAAATCAAAGTGGAAAAAGGACTTAAACGTAAGATGAGAAACCATAAAAGTTTTTAAATTATCCATAGGCACCAAAATATCAGACATATGTCATAGCAATACACTTACCAAAACAGCTCTTAGAACAATTGAAACTAAGAGAAAACAAACAAATAGCACTACATCAAAATAAAAACTGCTGCACAGCAAAAGAAACATCAACAAAACAACAAGAAAGTCGAAACCAGTTTGGTTCAGTGGATAGAGCATTGGTCTG